TTTCTAAAATATGGTTGTATCAATAAACTTCCATCACTTTCAGGAAAACTACATTCTTTAAACATGAATAATATAAATTATCTTCAAGTTTTAATGAAAGAAAAACCCAACTAGTACTTGTATGAATTACAATCCGAGATGAGACTTTTGTTGGGACATAACATTAGTCTTACAACTTGGATATATGCACAAAAAGATAATATTTCATATATTTATACATATTTTTATTTTATAAACTTTTAACAATTTTAATTTTATAGATTTCAAAACTCGCAAAAGAAAGAAATAAAGTTGATAGAGACAATTTCATTTTATGAATGTCTCAGTATACACCAAGTCAGTTAGTTTTTCAGATAAAACTGCTTATGGCAAAAGAATATTATCTCGATGCTATATTCAAGAAGGTTCAATGAATTCTATTGATTATGAAAATTTTATTGAACACGTTTTAGTAAGAATCTTTATTATGTAAATATGTAAATATAAATATGTTTAGTATAATAAATAAATTTCTAATCTTTCTTTGTCAATTTGCAGCATATTAATTAAGTCTTGATTTTTTGGAATCTCAACTTTAATTGAATTTTTAGTTGAATTTTTAGTCTAATTAATGAATTCTTGATCATATTTAACTTTTTTAATATTAGCATCTATTTGTATAATATATTTACTATAAAAGCTAATTTGATATCCAGAGCCTTTTTTATATTTTTTGTCAAGTTTTATTCATAAACTTCACAAAAATTAAACACACTAAACATATTAGGCAAGCGTTCAAACAAAATTTTAATAATGTTGACATTATAATAATAAAATTATTTGTATGTAATTATATCAATATTACAGTTAATAAAAATTGAACGAATTCAAAAATATATTTAATTTAGATGCCAATATTACAGTAAATAAAAATTGAACAAATTCAAAAATATATTTAATTTATGACGTAGATATTATATTTTTTATATACCGATCATGCCGAAAAATTTACCAGCTAAAAAATTTTTTGGAAGTTTTTTTATAGGTGTCCCAGGAATAATGAAAATAGCTGTAACATTTTTTTAACTGTTTTAATTTGACTAGTTTTTTATTTTAACATGTTTTTTCTGATTTTTTTTAAAATTTAATGTTTTTGCTTTTTTTTCTTTGTTGTTTTTTTTATTAATTGTATTTTTTTATTAATTGTTTTTTTTAATTAATTGTATCTTATTTTTTCTAATTTATTTTTCTTTTTTTTCTAATTTGCCATTTTTTTGTTGTTTTTTTTCAATTAATTGGATTTTTTTTAATAAACCATTATATTAAATTACAATTGCAACTTAACAAAATTCAAATTCCAATTCGGCAGAGTTTGAATTTTATCCAATTTTGTGGAAACATGAAAGACAAAAGTTATGTAACCACGACACTTCGGCTGACTTTAAAAATCTCTGATTAATGGAGTTACTTATGATGCACTAATATTTGTCACTAATTGAAAAAGTAAAGGGCCTCATGAAATACCCCTGCTGACGCAGGGGTATTTCATGAGACCTGTTACTTTTTTCAATTAGTGACAGTATTATAAGTAAGTGGATTATTTCATCTACTAAAGACTCTACTAATAACTTGGTTATCTGACATTCTGATATAAGCACTGAGTAATTTTAGTGTAACTTTTTTGGTACTAAGAGGTGAGAGAAATTTTGTATATAGTATTAGGAGATGCTGAATAAGTTACATGGAAATCATTTAGTGATCGCATAGTAATAGGGCGTTGGGGTGTTCAGTCAACTATGTAAATCAAAACCACATATAGTATCTAGTGATAGAACCCTGAACTAATAATTAATAATATTAATTATTAATTATTGATCAAATGAGACATCCTCAATAAAAATGTGCCTTTGTGAGGTCTGACAGTTGTTATACAAAATTGTGTGATATAGATTGGATATGCGCAATTCACATAAATACATATTTTGTTGAAAATAATTAGCACTCTGCACATATTATAGTTTTACTTTAAATATAAGTTTAAATTGTTTATAATTAATTTGTTACAGAGTATGCACTTTTTTAAAAATTTTTAATAAAAGGTTTGTTATTATTTAAATTACTATTCAAAGCATGTCTGAATAATTTTTATTCAAAAATACAAAATTAAAAAAGAAATATATGCAATGGCTTTTTTTGCTAAAGCGTCTGCCTTATCATTCCACTTATTGTTGCTATAACTCTTAATTTTTTGAAGTTCTAAAATGATATCTTTAGCTTTAACAAGATCAGTGATCTTGATTAAAATATCTCAGTTTTTCTTCTTGTAGACTCTATTAAATCTCCATTCTGTTTTTGTTTTGTTTATACTTGCAATTGCTGCTGCACTGTCCGAAAAAATACATATATTACCCCCTATTGGGATAGTAAAAAGAGCTAACCAGATTGCAATAAGCTCGGGCTTTGTTGATGATGGCCAATTAACTAATTTAGTATATCTCTCCTATAAGGACTGTACTTGCTCCTCATCTACTTGTACCCAACCAATTCTCATACTACTAATTTCTTCTTCTTGAATTAATGAACCATCTGTGTATATCCAAAACCTACTTCTACCACTACTATTATTAAAGTCTAAATTACTACTCAAATTATTCACCAAAATTATGTCAAAATTCTGATTCAAAATTAGCTGCTTGTCCAATGGTTCAATAAAGATTTCACTATTGAGTATTTCTTCTCCTTTTCTGGGTTTGAGCGCAGTATGTTTGATGGTTTTGTAAGGGAGAATGTCTTTATATCTAGGAATATACTTTTGATTGACCTTTTGCAGCAGTTTAGAGATCACCGTGTATACACTACTTTGGCTAATTCATTTAAGCTCTTTATTCTGTTCTATTGAAAGTGCTTCACTGGGCTTTTCAATTTCTACATAACCTGGTAGCATGTTATTTTCTGAAGTTACCCAGTGTTCTGTCAGAACTTTGCTTTTGCTTTTTTTGATAATCTTTCTCGTTTCTAAATTATCATTTTCCTTATTTATTAGAATCTATTCTTTTTTTCTTTTGTCAGAAAAGATTGGTACAAGTGCCATCTTTTGTGCCAGATTATTCAGAGCTGCAGCACACTGAGTCATCTTAATTTCTCTATTTTCTTGGTCTTGTAGCAAGATCTTTTCTAATGATGCAAACCATGTAGCTTTTTTGCCTACTCTGGTTTTGCTTTTTGCTATTTTGAGTTGCTGCCAGGTTAGGAGTTTTTTCCCTTCCCTGTCTAAAAGCTAATCACGAAATATAATGCCAAGGTTGAGTATATTTTTTGCTGCTTTTATAAAAAGAGAAGGACTAATGAATTCTTTTATAAGTGGGCCCGAATTTTGAAAATGCTATTGTTCTGTTATAGGTCTAATATTTATACCGAATTCTTTTGCTTTGCATAAAGTCAGACATGTTGTATTATTTTTCCATATCGAGTTCAGGTCTGTGTTTGGTTCAAAAAGCCAATTATTATCGATAATATTTGCAACTAATAAACCTTGTTTGATACGTATTTTTGCTAATTGACCATCTCTGTCTGTACTATTTAATCTGCAGTACAGATTGGTTGTTTGCTATGTCAAGAGTTCTTGCCAAAGAAATCTGCAATTTCCTAGATTTCTGTGTGCTAATAGAAAATTGCTTGTTGTGTAAGGCAAATCTATTCTATTTTTTATAAGCCTAACCATTGGTTGATGTTATGATTTCAAAGTGGTCTTGGATAGGCCAGTTGCTTGCAGTATATAGCAAAGTTTGGGGATCAGATACATATTGTTTAAGTAAATTAGTTGACTTAATGTGAGCTTCTTGTTTTTAATCGTTTTTATTGTTAGTTGGACAAGGTAAATGGCTTTTCTTTTTAATAACATGTCTTGCTTTTTGCCACTCAAGCCTATTCCCAAAATTTTGTAAGTGTTTTACTTTTCTCTGCTTCAACTTTTTCATTTGCTAAAAGTACATTTTTGCTATCTGCCATCTCTGCTAAGTTGACTACTATTAACTTTGACTTTTTAGGGTTGCCTCTAATATTGTTTATAGTATAGAATTTCTCTGCAGTTTTAAGTATTAACTCTAGCTGGACTTTACTCTTAGTTATCCACGTTGTGTCATCTGCATATACTATAGCTGCTTGATGAAAGTTTGTCTCCAGAAACGAATTAAATTGTAAGTCAAGTAGTTCTTTTAAGTTAACTGTGTAGCCTAGATTCTTATTGCTTTGTATCCTATATATCAAAGGATTATAGAATATTCTCCATATGAGTGGAGAGAGAACTTCTCCTTGTTCTATACCATCTGAAACTATAATGTTTTTCATGGGGCCTAGCACTGTTAGAATTTTTGTTTTTCAATTTTTGAATAGATTTATAATGAAATCTATTGAGATACTTGAAATTTTAACTCTTTTCATTGTTAGCCTCAGCATTTGAAGAAGAACTGAATCAAATGCTTTCTGCATGTTCTGAAAAAGAAGCCATAATTCTTTTCCTTGTTCTTTAGCATCTTCGATAATACTACTTAGTATGTATATTGGTTTGGATGTTGAGTCTCCAGGTAGGCCTGCGAAGTTTGGTCCTTTAAGAACTAAGTTTTTTGTCATAATCTCTGAAAGACGAGTTGCAAGAATCTTTGTTACACATTTGTGAAAAGTTTCTAACAGTGCAATTGGTCTTAGGGAGCTTAATATACTATCCCATTTAGCTGATTTTGGTATAGGATAAATTTGGCTACATTTCTATTTGTTTGGGATTTTACTAGTTTTTAAACAAAAAGATCCAAATTTTCTAAAAATTTCATGTGTGGCATTGTTTGCCTTTTTAATCAATACATAGCCAATTCCTGTAATACCTGGTGCTGTATTGTTCTTGAGCTCATTAAGCATTTTTTGCTATTGCTCATATTATTTATTTAATAAATAGTTTGTTTTAATTATAAATTATACAAATAATTAATAATTTTATTATAATTTTTTATTTTTTATTGAGATAGAAAATGCCAAAAGAAAAGAAAGAGAAAAAAGAAAAGAAAGAAACAAGAGAAAAGAAACCTACTTCTGATTATATTTTAGAAACAAATGCAGCACCTGAAAACTCTGAAAAAGAAGATAAAATAGATAGAAAAAATAGATTAAGAAATAAAAGACAAGCTAAATTTAAACATTACCAAAGATTAGAAGAAGGAGATGCAGGACCCTCAGGACCTTCAACAAGAACAAGGTCTAAAACTAAAACATTATCAGACACAAGAGAAAAAACAAAAGAAGGTCAAAGAGATAGACAACAAGCACATAGAGCTTCTATGAACAAAGCAGAAAAAGAAAAAATAAAAGAAAAAATAGAAAAAGAGATAGAGAAAGATATAAAAAGAAAAAAAGAACAATTTGAACAATTTTATAAAATAGGATATTGTAGTTTAGATAAATATCAGGAGGAGGTTGAGGATGATGGAGATGATGATGGAGATGATGATGGAGATAATGATGGGGATAATGGTGGGGATAATAGTGAAAATGATGATGATAATGATGATGATGATGATGGGATGATAAAAAGAACATTGGAGGGTATAATGTGGGAAAAATAGACATTGAATGTAAACATTGTGGGGCATTAAGATGGAAGAGAGAAAAACCAGGACTTTGTTGCATAAATAGTCAAGTTATATTAGCACCACTTCAAGCACCACCACCAGAAATTTATTATTTGCTTACAGCAAAAGATCCAATATCTAAAGTACCATTTTTTGACAAAATAAGAGCATATAATCAAGCATTTGCTTTTATATCAATTGCTACTGATTTAGATTTGGATGTTGCCAATGAAAAAAAGGGGGCCTATTGCTATAGAATTCAGGGTGATCATTATCATCAAATTAACTCAGCTTTGCCAAAACAAAGGGAAATACCAAAATTATCTCAAATATATTTTCATGATTCTTCAGATATTGAAGTACAAATTGATAGAAGACATGATGTAATGAAGCAATCATTAAACAGGAATATGATAAATATTATTCAAAATGTATTAATGGATTTAAATCCTTTTGTAGATACTTATATATCTGCAGGAAATGAGAATCTACAAAATCCTCTGTATTATATTTTAATATATAATAAGCATGGTAAAGATATGAGACAATATAATACACCATTAGTTAAGGAAGTAGCTGCAATTTGTTTTTCTAATAAAACTATGCATGTAAGAGATATTCTTATTGTAAGATATGATAATGAATTAGAAAGAATATATGAATTACATGGTGCATATAATCCTTTAGCATATCCTTTGCTATTTCTACTTAGAGAATATGGTTGGCATAAAGGAATATTAAAAAGAGATATAATTGAATCAGATAATGATTATGATTATGACGATGATGATTATGATGAACCAGATTATTTGTACTGGACTAAATAAAAAATGAAAACCCATCCAAAAGAAATTGAAGAAAAAAAAAAAAAAAAAGAGCTCTTAAAAAAAAGATGACTCAAAACCCTGAAGCCTCTAAAACTTCTGAAGCTGAAGCTGAATCAAGTGGTACTTCTAATATTGACTTTAATACTTTATTAAAAAGAGAATCACAAAGTCAAACAGGATTATCAAATATTTTGGAATTTGCAACTATTAGGAGTTCATCAAGTATGAGCCTTAATGATGAAAATATTGATACAGATGATAAAGAATATTTTGAAAGTAGAACTTTTGTAAAAAAGGGAAAAAAAAGAGCTAGAGAAGAAACTGAAAAAGTTCAAGCTCAAGCAGAAGATGATAATAATCTTTATGATCCTGTAATAAAAAAAAATTAGTATCTAAAAGCAAAAAAGTTGAATTTGATAAAGATGGAATCTCTAAATCAGAAAGACTATCTGATAATGATAAAGATAGTGATAGTGATAATAATGATAGTGATGATGATAGTGATGATGATGATAATAATGGTGATATAGAGGGACCATCAAAAATTCAACCAAAACTAAAAAAGAAGAAAAGAAAAACAGTAACTATTAAAGATTTTGTAGCTTATAGGTTTATGATTAGAAACTACAACAAAAATAATAGCATTCTGCATCTTTCAGACAGATTGTTTCAACAATATATAGTGGACCAGTATGTAAAGTGGG